GCTTTGGTTCTGTACGTAGTATTACATAGTTGTAATTAAAATGCTGAGTTTCTGTCTAATAAAAAATAAAGATACAATTTTGAAAGGGGGTGGGATGAATATGGGGTAGGGAGATAGATGGGAAAGATGTGTGAGAAAGCTAAATCTTCTGTAATGGGAAGTCAATAATGCTTTTAACCTTGAATACAACAAAAGACAATGTAGGAGTGTTATTTGTAGGTAAATACTGAAAATCAGCTGAAAATGATTCCCCGGTAAAAATAATAGAGAATGAGGGCAGGGTAGTGGACCTTCATAGCAGAAGTTGTACAAGTAATTGGCTGTTTAACCTGTATTTTTCAAATAAAATTTTAAGCAGTAAGTTTGAATTAAAAAATAATACAGAGCCCTGGCTGGTGTGGCTCAGTGGGTTGAGCTCCAGCCTGTTAATCCCGGGGTCGCCAGTTCGATTCGAGGTCTAGGGCACATGCCTGGGTTGTGGGCCAGGTCCCCAGTGGGGGGGCACCTGAGAGGCAGCCACACAGTGATGTTTCCCTCTTTCTCCCTCCTTTCCCCTCTCTAAAAAATAAACAGAATCTTAAAAAAAAATACAGGTGCAACTATAAGTGATGACAACATGGATTAAAATAACAATGTTGAGTGAAACAAGTGAGACAAAAAGATTTGATTTATAAAGTATATAAAGATATACTTATTATAAATGCCATACTTTTTTAAGAAGTATAAACACTTTTTTAAAAAGTAGGTATAAAAGACCTAACTAATCCATAAGTGTTCAAGTCATGAGTGTGGCTAAATAATGTGCAGAAAATCTTATTCACCTGGTGGTACTTGAATATTTTCTAAAATAGACTAAAGCCATATTTGGTTTTTTAGAACAGCTTTTACAGTCACATCTGGTGATTACTTAACACTGAGAAGACTAAGGTAGGGGTCCTTGAGCTAATTTTGCATTTTTAAATGGAAAAAGGAGATGCAAGTGAAATTACACATGGCCTACAAAGCCTAAAATATATTATCGGGCCCTTTGTGGAATAAGTTTGCCAACCCTTTTCTAGAACACAGGAAAATGCCTGTTCCTGGAAGAAAGAAACCATGAAAATTCTAACTAGATACAATGCAACTTTTTTTAAAAAAGCAACACAGCTTCTAAAAATGGTTAAAATAGTATGTTTTTATATTATAGTTTTGGTAAGGTGTTTAAACTAAAAGGAATGTCTCCAACATGGCTAAGCTTGATTTGTTCTGTTACAGGTTGTAGGTGGCCTAGATATCCACAAAAAGATGGTGGTAGATGTGTGACTCTTTTTAAAGAGTACCACCCAACACTTTTGCTTTCTTCTCCATCTCTGAAGATCTGCTCAAGACGTCCAGCAATGCTCTCTGTGTATTTAAATGGAAGTATTTTTCTCTGTGAAGCCACATTTTCCAACATGAGCCTCATGAAGCCAACTAAGTGTTATTGAACTCTTATTCTCTCAATAACTCAGTGTAGCACTTTAAAGTCTGAAGGACAGCAACACGAAAGAGCATATCAATGTGGTGAAGAAAGGGAGGGGGTTGGCTTTTTAATTTATTTTTCTTCATCTTTTATAACAAGAAAGTATCTATATATACATATGTAAATATTTATATATAGATATATGTAGCTTTCTATATGTGTAGTAGGTTGGCTTTAATTTAATATACTTGATTCAGAAACAAAATGATGAGTACAAAAGTGCCAAGCAGAACATAAAGCATCCTTACTTTTATTTCACACAGTTTTATATATAGGTAGAAGATTGTACAATTGGAGCCGGGTGTTAGGCCAGCTACTTTCCTTTTCCTGTGCTTTCTCCTTTGAGAGATTGACAAAGCATTTGTTAACGTCCTATTATTTACCTAATTACATTTTTGTAACAAAGGAGTTTGTAAACTTTATTTATACCTATGAATATATTTCCAGGGACTAAGTCTCATTGCTGAGCAGCTTTTACTACATCTCTGCTTGAGGAGAAAGTGTAGTTCAGTGCTACTGCCAAGAGCTCATTCTTGTGTTCATATAGTACCTACACAAAGCTTAAGGCTGCTTCATTCTGTTACTGTTACTTGGTAACTAGGAGCCATTATGTTTATTAAATGTCCCTAGTACTTGTAAGTTTCAGTTGTGATTTCATAAAGGCCTGAAGCTATGTGAGGCAATCATAATTTACCTTAGACATTACTTAATAAAGAGTACCTGAAGTAAACATGTAACTGCATAGATAATTTGTCATTAAACCTATGTTTGAACCATAAAAATTCCCTTCTGTGTTTCAGAAGACTTGCAGCTAATATAAAACATGGGTGATATTTAATGTGCATGTAAATATCTCAACACCCACTTATATTTGTGATTTAAATGGAAGAAATCCTACTCATCTGTGTGTCACAGAAGAGCAAAATTTTATCCAAATTTATACCTCTTGAATTTCTTTACCATAAAGCATAAAGAGTGCATGAGGTGTTTTTTCTTGATTTGCCCATATTTGTAATGGATAACAATAAATTTGTGTGATATAAAAGTAGTGTATCATGTTCTACCACTTGTTATTGTCCCTTCCCTTTTCTGCAAAGGTACTGTTGGCTGGAAGAAAACATTTTGGTTAGCTTTCTAGGACAGTATTTCCCTATATAGATTTTCAACAAAAACTGGTTTTATAGTCAGGAGTGGAAAGGGGCAGGTTGAGTCAAGGTGAATGAACCTTAAATTGGGCACACCTGCTTGCCATTGCTGTTCCTTCGACTGAGTGCTGCACACCATGGGCTCTGTCTGTGAGAGAGAAATCTCGGTGCTTGGTGTCCTTGCATGACATGGAGTTTTGCATGTAGATCGATTTAAAAATGTACCTCTTGTTTACATAATTTGCATAATTTTAAAAGAAAATATTGCCAAACTTTGGAAATGTTAATGTTCAAACTGAAAAATCTCCACTACATGTAACTTTCTTCCTCTGGATCAGTACGTGGCTTATAATCCCAGCCAGTGGTTTGATCTGTTCCAGTGTCAACTGCCATGTGCTCTGCTTCAAGGGGGAACTAGTCTTTTGTGAATTTTTTGTACATAAGTATTTGTTACAAATATTTTAGCAAATGCTTTCTATTTCTCTTGCTTGTGCATATCTTGGCTGGCGTTACAGAAAAATAGTGCAAACAATATTTCCTTACTGGGGAATGGGGTTTTTCTTTTTTTCTTTTTTAGTGTGTATGGGTTGGGGGGAGGGGTGGTTTATGTTGAATGTTTAGTTTTTCTTCTGCATGAAACATCATGTTGTGGGAATCTTTAGAAAACTTCCTACTGTATGAATAAGAAAATAAAATATTTGGAACTTGAGCATATTCACAGTGGTCTTTGGTGGGCTTCTTCATCTATTAGGGGTCTTCTGCAGGGGGTGGTTTTAAAAAATCTGATAAATTGATGTTTGATCTTTGTAATCCATAGGTAAAAAATACATCCACTTTATCACTGGATAAAAACAGAAGTCATTACAACTTACAAAGCTCTATCTCATTCTTATATTACTCGTCCCCCTTCCCCTGCTTCCAGCCACTGGAGACAAAGGAGAATGGTGGTGTCAAGGGGGCAGGAGTGTTGCATGGGGACAGTTTTGGTTGAGGAAGGTACAGTTCTAGAGACACATGATGGGTGATTGTTGCACAGTAATGTTGAATGTACCTTGTGCCACTGAACTGTACACTTAAAAAATGTTTAAAATGGTAAATTTTATGTACTTACCACAATTTAAGAGAGTGAAAAAGAATCTCCATCTTTCTGGATAGTTTCCAGGATTTAAATATTGTTCAAACTCACGTGTCTTGAAACATTAATCTTCAAAAACTCACACATGCTCAAAAACTCATTGCATTAGCTAACATTTAAAGTCCTTTGCCACTTCAACCTTTCACTTCCCTTGGTCATTGGTTATAAATCTTGGCTAACCAGATCAAATTATCATGTTGTTGCTGTCTCAAACCTAGATTTACTAGATTTCTTTGACCAAGTAATTAACATTTGCACAGTATGAGTATTTTGCAAGTTGTAGGATGGCTGTGTACTCAGTAATCTAACACTAAGCATGCTGGCCCAACCTTATCGTGGCTGAGATGAGGAACGTTAGGTCTCTTTCCCGGATGCTTAGTGAATATGAGCTTTCTTCCATCCCAGTTCTAGGTAGCATGAGTTGAAGCCCAAATCCGAATGACTAAAACATCTAAGTCTTTTTTCCTTATCAACCACTGAACATTTAAGAAAATACTCTGCAGGTCCATTCTCCAGCCAATATGTAAATTGTTGTATGTCAGAAATTGAGCAAGATAACTGAGTATCCGAAGGTGAGAGGTTTCAGGGTGCAAGGCAGACGTACAGTATAGTGTGGCAGATGCCACAGAAACATGAATATGCAACAGCTAAGGGTGAGGTATTAGTGTCCAGGCCTTACAGAATGCTTTCAAAATGCTTTGACCCAGGTTAAGATCAACTATCATTTTGACATAGATTTATCTGATTACTTTTTCGTTATTCCCATTCCAAAAATCTGTTTTCCTCCAACAATTTGTCTCCCTTTCAAACCCTAAGCAGTACTGCTCCCCCAGGGACAGAAATGCTAAACCAGGCAGGTGCCCCAGACTCAAGGTGCTAAATGAAACTTCAGTGTCCTAAATTTGAGCAAAGTGATTTACTACTGTCATACATATACTCCCTTCATGTTGCTGTGTTGCCAAAGGATAGAAATTATTTTGGTTTGGAAATTTTTCCAGCGATTTCCCATTGGATTTCCCATTGGATTTCCCAACCATAATCTAAATGCATCCAGTCCTATGCAATGTACAAAGCTGTCTGGGACAGTGGCACATGTAACTGATGTAAGGGAAACAGCAGTTAAATAAGAATACTTTCTCTAGTTCTTACATGAACTTTCAAATACTCTCATCTTCAAAGTTAAAAAGTTTTGGCTGGGTTTTAGAGACGTACAAGCACATGTATCAGACAAGTTTAATGAAATAAGTTCTTTCATTTAAAAAATGCATAAACTGAATCAGATAATATTTAAATAGGCAGACACTAGTCAAAACATTCTTTTACATTTGAAGAACATATTTTCTTAGGAGTAAAGACATTCTTTTATCATAGCTTACTACTTAGAAGAAACCCAACATACATACTTATATAAAAAAGTAACATTTTCCTCATGTCAACCTGGTGATAATAGCTCTTTTATTTTTACAAGTTGCAAAACAGGTAAAAGATTAGCCTTTTTGGTTCACTCATTGTAGCCAAACTGCTGCTTATGAATGACCTGACTGTAAAATAGTGACAAACCACCCAGTACTTAGGGTCATGATTCAGAGAGGTTTTCTGAGATAATTCTTTAATTACAACTCGGAGAAGAAATCTTCATAAATTTATAAGTAAAAAACTTATAAATTCATATAGAAAAGAAATAATTTCCCCTCCAAATGAGAGAATTAGAAACTATGCAAATCTGCTATACTTAATTTAAAATAAAAAAAAATGTTGTAATTAATGTTTAAGTGTAATCTTGGTACTCAAGTTTGATACTTAAGTTACACTCTAAGTTGTTGAATGAACACCGTCAGACTTTTCCTTTCTGTTTATTCTTCCGGCTGAGACTGAAGAAGGGAAGGAGACTTGAAGTGACTGAAAAATCCTTCACATGGCTTCTTGTGACCACTTGTGAAGGGTAAGGTCTTTTTCTCTAGAGTCCAAAGACAAAAGTCTCTGATTTGAAATCAAAATCGATCTGCTGCTCTGCTAGCTACAGCTCGAATATTGCCATAAACCTTTGATGGAGGATTTCCTGTAGAGGGAAAAAAGCTTATTTACACAGAAAAATACTCACATATATACAAGCTACATGGAAATTGGTCTACAAAGCTCTAAAAAGAACAGAACATTTTCTTTTGGATCTACCTTAAATCAACAGGAAGCCTAAAAAGGGAACCAAATGCAAACATTCTAAAAAAAAATCATTTTAAATCCCAAGAGCCAAAATATTTCAAAAAGACCCAGTCACCAAGGGAGAATCCTAAGTGTTTTCTGAGCAAATGGCTACACTCCTGTAACTCTTGTCACAAGTTACTGACTCTGCTGCCCCATGTGAAATGGGACCAAGTGGATTAAACTGATGCTGATCAGTAGCCCCCTCTTTGCTGCACCTAAAATGTGGTGTTGCTTATGTTCTGGAATGGCTCTTCTGTGCACCTCGTTGGGGGAAGGCAGCAAAGCCAATAAACCCTGTCTCAGAGCTAACAGATGTGAAATCCAAGAAAAAGGATTCCTGCCTTTTCTTACTCCCACAAAGAGTTGCCAACCCCTGAGAGTTTGTTTGCTATCTTTCACATTTCCCTAAACTGACCTGCAAATCTGGTTTAATCTAGATCCCCACTCTTTACTTTCCAGAGAAAATACCAAAGAAATAAACTGCTTTTACCCAGGATGAGGTTGCAAATGGCAGTTCTTGCCATCTTGATGTTTTGGAAAGAGCCAAGGATGTGAACTTTCCTGCAAGAGAAAAAGTGAGACAAGTCAGCAACAAAAAACATTCCCTTAAACTAAGTCCTGTGATCCAGAAACTGAAAAGTCAGGATACAGATTCCTCAGTAAAGGTGGTGATGATGGCAGCAAAACTCGGCAAATATGCTAAGAACCCACTTTGAAAGAATTTTATGGTGTGTTTATTATAACTCAAAAAATACAAACCTTTGGTTCTCGAACATCTTGCATGTTGAACAATTTGGTTCTTGACCAAGTTGTTATAGAAAAAGTCGGCTGTTGAACAAAACTTTGGTTCTCAGCCTGACAACCCTTTCATGCTGATAACTATATGATCAGTCCCTTGTATGACTTGGTTTTCGAACAAATCGCCTCTCAAACAGCACGGACACGTGAAGTGTCTGTTTTCCTACTGAAACATTCAAAGCAATGAGGCAGTGGTTGGAAGAGAGTGCAAGTCTCGGGACACACAGGCAGCATGATTGCTCTTCTGCTGTACTGAACGTGTCAGGAACAAGGAGTTTTTAGTTTTTGGGTTTTTTTTAAAAACATTTTTTAAAAGATCTTACTTATTTTTCTAAGAGAGGGGAAGAGAGGGAGAAAGAGAGAGTAACATCAATGTGTGGTTGCTTCTCATGTGGCCCCCACTGGGGACCTGGCCTGCAACCCCGGCATGTGCCCTGACTGGGAATCGAACCTGCGATGCTTTGATTTGCAGCCCGCACTCAATCCACTGAGCTATGCCAGCCAGGGAGTTTTTAGTTTTATATCCTGCTCATATTATACTGTATTTTGGCAGCTTAGCAGCTCATAAAAAATAACACTTATAGGTATATAGTAGTCCACTTTATGGCTTTATCATAATATAAATTGTTAAACTTGTGGATTTCCAATTAGCCTGGTTATAGCAAAAACTATAAAACAGTACATTTCTTTAATTTTGAGTAGTGTAATTCAATTTGTAAAAAACAACAAAAAAAGCACACCACCATACAAAGTATAAAAAGTAATTCAATAGTAACATTATTGATAACAGTACCAAACGGAAAACAAACCCAATGCCTATCAACTGTGAATGGATAAACAAAATGCAACACATCCACAGGATGGACTAGTACTTGGCAATAAAAAGGGACTGCTGATACATTAAAAAAAAATGGAGAGACTCAAAATACGCTAACTAAAAGAAACCAAACACCAAAGACTTCACACTGTGAATTTTTAGAAAAGGCAAAACCATAGTGACACAAAATAGTGGTACATGTTCGTGAGTGCCTGGGTACGCGTGGGGCTGCAGGGCTGGAACCTTGGCCTCAGGCTCACTGAACTATGTACCTAACAACAGGCAACTTTAACTACGTAAATCATACCGCAACAAGGCTATTTAAAAAATTAACTAGTAAATTTTAACTTATAAATGCACTTATAAATCATACACTTTAGTATGATATACTACCCGTAATTTGATTAGCAAATCAGTTATATTTTTAGATTTCCAAATTAAAAAGCTAAATATGATATTTTATTATTTTTTTAAATTCTTGACCAAGGGGACATGGATTTGAGAGAGAGAGGATGGACATCGACGTGAGAAACACTGAAGGCTGCCTCTGGCGCACACCCTGACCAGGGACGGCCCCCATGGCCTTTTGGTGCCAGGAGTTTGGTCCTCCTGGCTCCCCACTCCCAACTCTAGACTCATCCATAAAAGATCAAAATTATAATACATCTGTCCTCTGGTAAAGAGAGCTGCCGATGTAGTATTATAGTTATTCCTGAACTATAAAAAATATTAGAGCCCCTCAGTTTAGAGCAAAGATGACAAGACTTCAGATAAAATTATTTCTGGATTTGGGTGCAGACAGACGCCTCCCGTCCTCCTCTCAGTCAACTGCTCTATTTCCCAGCTTTGTGGCATTACACAATCTCTGAGCCAGCAATCCCAGCCTGGCCACGGAGCAGCTTCGACCTCAGAGACGGTCATCCTGGCTTGATGTCCCACACCTTTATTTTAAGTCCGTGTCCTCTTATTCATGTTCACATTGACTGTTCTCCTGTTCTCACCCAATGTGCACTACTCACCTTCCTTTTAAGAAAGGTCTTTATATATATATATATTTAAAGGAAACCTTCCAGTGGCACTTAAAACACCCACTCTGTGCCCTGGCCTGGTAGCTCAGGTGGTTATAGAGTGTCATCCTAATACGCCAGGGTTGTGGGTTAGATCTCCTGTCAGGGCACGTACAGGAAGCAACCAAAGAATGCACAAATAAGTGGATCAAGTGGATATCACTCTGTCTCCCTTCTCTCTAAAAACCAATTAAAACAAAACAAAAACACCCACCCTTTGTCTTCCCCTGACTTAACAGGGGAAGAAACTATGAGGAACTATTTAAATTTTCACCTGTCCTGTGATTTCTTTTAATAATATTTCTAAGTGTTTCCTTCATTACCAATTGAGAAAAAAAGATAAAATTTCTAAGATTTTCCTAACTTAATCTGCTTTCAAAGTAGGTAACTACCTATTCATCCAGAACCAAATGCTGACAAAGATTTAGTGGGAGTATTATGCAAAAATACAACCTTTATGACCTTTTAAAACCAGCAAAAGAATATAAATTATGACAATAGTTTTCTCAAGATCCCATACTTACACATCAGCTAAAACGATCCGTGTCCGTGTCACATTCTCTATGGTGAACTTGGTTTTCCCCCCTTTGCCAGCGATTCTTCCTATTGCCCTTGACAGGTGGTCTCCCTTTAGGGGCTTCACTGAATGAGACAAGGAAGACCTCAAGAGGCAAGCCACTGCAGTACACCACCCACTTCCACATAAAGTTCAATCATTAACAAAGTTTCCCCACCAACAGACATAAAATACGTATATGTTTTTAAAAAGCTGTAAAAATAACACAGCTCAACTGATGCTTTTAGAAAGCTGAGAGTCACAAACAAAGTCAGCTATTCAAAAGTACAGTATTTCATAATAAATGAATGCTACACACTCACCATCTGTAATTTCAAAAGACTCTAAGAAGAGGTCATCCAACCTAATTAGAGCAAGTGCATCCTACAATATAAAAATACATACTGTGAAGCCCTTCCATTTAGACACCTAAGAATGAGTGTCAAGGTAAAATTCACAAACTATAGAACTAGAAAACTCAAATCGGAGAAAAGCCCCAATCCACAGAAACATTCATACCGAATACTTTTCAAGCCTCCATTTTAGATGTCATTAAATCACTCACCTCCACCTGGAACCCAAGAATAAAGGCTTTCACAAAATCAGCTGCTTTTGTCAGAGCGCTAACGTCCTTGGTTTCTTTACAAGTCTGTTTTAAAAAAGGCACAAATTACAGGTGGGGATGAAAAGTCCTCTAACAGAACACAAGGAATGATCTTTTCCTTTACTGGAATTTCCTTCACCACCACCCTCTCCCAATGTATTCTCCATGACCCAGTTTTTGCTGAAGTACTGTGGTTAACTTGCAAAACAAAACTTTCCTAGATCCAGAGGTAGACAGTTCCACCAAAACACTGTCAAATGACAGACTGTACTCCAAGACTGATCTGACCTGGGGACTGACAGCAAGACTCCTCAGGCACAGCCCAACGGCACACACACGACTTCATCGTCCTCAGACCAGCCTCATCCTGTCAATGCTCTGACACCCAAGCTAGCCATCTTCTCTTCTCTTCCAATCCAGCCTTCCCTGCAAGTTGTCATTTCCTGGCTTCAATCAGCATTTGTGCTGATGCTTCCCACAGCAGTAACTCCTCTACTAACTACCAGCATGGTTTAGGCAGTTTATTCAATAATCACAGAAACAGCAGCTAGCCATGAAATGCCCAGCACTGTAAATGACAGGCATGACAAAGAAAGGTGCTTTACATACTGCAGCTCTAAGCTTCATGAAAACCCTGATTACTGAGTGATATAAAGGTGAAAATGGTAATATTCGAACACAGGTCTAATGTCAAGACTGTCATTTCCTCTATCCCACACAGACCCACAATCTAACTGAGACCACACATGTGACAAATTTAAAACCATGCAGGGTTGTGTAATGGGACATTTAAAACAAGATCCTAGCAAGATCCTTAATCCTGTATTTGACAATGGGCAAGTCTCATAGAAACTGTAGGTCTTTATCTGTAAAAGAGGTCAGAACAGGAGATCCTGAAAGGTCCCTACTAGCATCAAGATTCAACTACCAGCTTGATGGCTTTAGCCAAGAAACTCCTCTGACCCTCAGTTTCCCCACATCCATAAGATGTGGCTATGTCATCTACCTCACAGGGCTGTCCTAAGGACCAAAATGATGTAGTGTGTCTGAAGGCACCACTCTGTGTCTGGTGTATAACAGTATCAACAAATGTTAGTGGAATCCAGGTTGATGATGCTGAAATACATAATGACAGCTAAGCACAGTAATAGTTTAGACACTGAAGACATGACTGAAAAATGGACTGATCACAAAGAACTTGAGCTAGATCCTCAAAGATGAATGGAACTGAGGTAGGACAAAGGGTGTAGGGAGGAGAGGGACTTCGTCAGAGAGGAAAGCCATCCGTGTACACGGACATAAGAATGTTCAAAAAGGTGGTGAGGTGAACTTCGGACTCGGACTCCTATGTAAAACGTTCGGTCAAAACTTAACTCCTACCCTTCAGTGACACTGAAGGTACCAGGATACCGTAATAAAAGCAGTGTGGTCTGCGAAGGTGTATCTGGCTCTGGCACTGAGGGTGAAGTGGTGAAAGATGGTGTAAAACAAGGGAAACCTCAAAGGAAACAAGTTTTGGCATGAAACCACAAAAACCTGAACAAAAGTGGCAAAGAAGTCCACTGTCTAGCTCTACATTTTAAACTTCACCAACTATTTAGAGTAGCACCTCTCAACTTTATCCCATTATTCTAGTCCCTTGGAGGAGCTGAGTTTATATACCCATCCTGATAATAGCATAACAATCCTCAAAAAGAAAGATTATAATTAATGTTGGTCTTTGATTCTGATACAAAATTGGCATTCAGAAAAAGAAGTCCAAAGTCAACTAATTTTGACTAACTCTTGGGCTGACACCATAGAACGAATGAATATATATAGATAGATAGAGGCACACACACATAGATTTAAGTACAGTTATAACATGGATGTGTACATATAAAATTTATTTCTAAAACAATACATTTTCCCCCAAAATAATACCATTAAAATATATAGTGCCTGTTCGGCAGCAAATATTCCACTCAGTTCATTATTTACAAACTTCCGTTTATTTGGCCTTTTCTCAGTTCAACATTAAACACTATACAAAGGCATGACCAGTATTTTGGTATGATCGCAGACTCAACTTATGAATTCAACAAATATTTGTGTTCAATGTGGACTCTGAAGGCATTTGAGAAGTTCAAATTCACTAAGTTAGAAAGCTGGAAGAAAACCATTTAACAAAGTTAAGTCCCACTGAGGAAAGTCTATGTATCCATTTTCATCCCTGAAGGAGGAACCCTAGAACACTTGGAAATGGTCGGCATTCTCCTTACCCTGATTTCTACATTCCTCGATTTCAAGTTAAAGCGTATCTGAAGTCCCAAATGCTCTACAATAGGCGTAAATATCTTCAACCAGTTCTCTTTTAATGGTGTGTATCTGTTAGCTGGGACTGGAATTTTCCTTGTTTCTTCTTTTCCGTTCTGCAATAAAAACACACACAACTGAGCTGTCTGGAGGAATGGAGGTGGAGCTGCAAAATGACAACTGAACCACAAAAAAGTTTCCTTCATCTGAACGAATCAAACTTCCCCGGAGTCACTTAAGAACTGCACGCCAGAAGAACCCCTGCAGTATCAACATTACCTAGAGACCTCCAACCTGACTTCCCTCTGGCCCCTAGTACCCTGTTCCTGTCCCAGGGTCCCCCCAGTACCAAGATCCCGTCCCCGGAGAGGGGCGGAAAGACGGGCCTCTTGGCCGGCCGGGCCTCCTCCGTGTCCATGCGACTCGCGTCCCCGCCTTCCCCGGCCGCAGACAGCTCTTCAGCCTGCCGCTTCTTCGCTCGCCGGCCACCTTTGCGAGTGACCTGGGTGAAACCGTCCTCGGCCCCGGCGATCTGCGACTCCATTTCGGTGGTCATCCTCCAGAATCTCCAGCCGCAGCCGGCGCTTCCGGCTGGAACACGTGCGCGGTTGCAGTGCGCAGGCGTACCTCGCAGGTTCCAGCATCCGCCAACCAGTCCCAGCGCTCCGTCCCCTTTCTAAGAAGTCCCCACGCAGGGGACTTGATGCCGGATTTTTCCGTTTGTTTGCTGAGTAGGATAAGGAGCTGTTCTAAAATATGCCGTATTCTTATGGTCTCCTCCTGGCCCTGCCAAAGCCAAAGAATTTAGTGATCTCTAACCTGTATATATACTAAAGGCAGTCTGTAAAGGCAAAACACAAGTTTGTGCCATCTGTGGGAAAAAAGTCTTGTGTGATTTCAGTAGTGCATCTGGCATTATCTGAGACAACTAAATCCAATTTGCCTGGGCGCCAGGGGGCGGATACGGCAAGCGGGAAGGACAAATTGTCATTAATGTTTGGAGTGTGGTTTCTAGGTTAGGGTTTTATTAGGGTTGGGAAGTACCAGTTGGCGAAGGAGAAATCGGGTGGACCATGTCGGCCTTCGAAAAGCCTCAGATCATTGCCCATATCCAGAAGGGCCTCAACTACACAGTGTTTGACTGTAAGTGGGTGCCCTGCAGCGCCAAATTTGTGACCATGGGCAACTTCGCACGGGGCACCGGCGTCATTCAGCTGTACGAGATCCAGCACGGGGACCTAAAGCTGCTTCGGGAGGTGGGTGCTAGGTTGAGACTGTTCCGGAATCTAGGAGTGCCGTTGGGGGATGAGTATGCATTCTGGAAGTTTGCATTCCTTTTTGCCAAAACCTTCGTACAGTGTCCCTCAAAAGTACAATTCGAGCTGCGCGGGAGTAGCCAAGTTGATCGCAGATTGAGGAATACTTCTGATGTAAAATACTTTCGGTCGAGTCCTGAATTCACAGCGTGCTAGTTCACCCGCACCCTCCCGGCCCTTTCCTCCAGCCACCCCCGCGGTAAATTCTAGGTTCTTCGGGGCGGTGCGCAGTTTGTGGAAAGTCTGTTAATAGGACCCTGTTAGTAAAAGGCATTTTCATACAAGCAGAGCCAAAGCGGGCACCGGTATCCTACAGTGTCATTGGAGGAGGCCACCTACCATTTACTCTTTCAACAAGTCAGTTGATTATCTGGTATTCCCAGGCTTCTGATGACAGTCCCCGATCTCATGGAGCTTTCTAGTGGGAGAGAGAATCAGTTAAATAATCAAACCAACGGTGCATGAATATAAACCGGGGTAAATCCTCAAACATAAAAGCAGGGTTCTCTTAGAGTAAAAACAGACTGGGGATGGGAAGAAACTATCCTGGCCAAATGAAGAGTAGAGGAGGAGGTTTCCAGAGGAAATGGCCTAGAAAGCTCAGTGGTGGGGGAAGGATTACCTTCTTAAGAAACAGCAGTTGTAAGCAAGGCCCAAACGTTGCAAGATCTATAAATCATTTAAAATGCATGCCTTTTTTTTTTTTCTAAGAAAAACAAGACATCATTGAAGGGCTTTAAGCAGTGTGTGGCATGATCAGGTTTACAAGTTTTGTAAAGGCCACTAGTGAAAGAATTTAAGAATAATGTTGTTAACTAACATTTTTATACCTATTTAAAGTTTTAAAAATGCCTTGATCTGGGTTGCCTGAAAAAATAAAGATCAGACTCAGGTGTATGATAGGGTCAAAGTAGACTGCAGGGAAGGTTGACAACTGCAGGGCTCAAAAGTGATGGAGAGAATCTGTTTGGAGGAATTGGAGGTTGAACTGGTAGGTAAAGGATGAATATAAGATAGAAAAAACTTAGATTGAAAGGTAAGTTGGGCCCCATCCCACTTTACACTTATGTGAGTGCCAGTTTTCTTTTTCGGTTTAACCGTCTTTTGTAGTCTGGGCCTCAGAGTAAAAATGGCTTGTTCTTTTCTGTCTTTCCTTAAATTGTTCATCACTTAATCCCTCAGTCACCTGTTGCAATTCTAAGGTCCAGTCAGATTATTTGATAATACAAGTGGGGACCAAAAAAACCCCCGGAATTTATTTATTAAAAAATTGTGTGTTTATTGTTTGCATGTTTAAACTTCAGTCACCTTCAAAGTACTCTCCCATTTGATGCAACACACCTATTGAGATGTTTTTCCACTGCTCAAAACAGTTTTTGAACTCTTCAATTTTGATGTTTTTTGATGCTTCTGCTCTTCTACCTTGGCAAAATGTTTCCCTTTGAGGTCTTTTTTCATCTGGAGAAACAGAAAAAGTCACTGTGGGTGAGATCCGGTGAATAGGGAGAGTGGAACACTGTGGGAGGGATGATGCTAGTTTGTTTTTATTTTCCTCAAAAACTGCTGAATAATCAGCATGGTGTGGGCAGGTGCATTGGTAAATCACCTATCATGAAATGGCAAACACTTTGAGTCTTCAAAAAAAGAATAAGCTGAAGCTGAATGCACCCTCTCACACCACCGGCTGACACACTGATACAGGTGGGTTCCTAGAACACTCACCTGGTGTGAGAAGCCTGTACCACAAGGGCCCCGCCCTCCAGAAGATAAATCCAGTTCTGGTTGGCTACCCACTGGTATGAATTCCCTTCCTGATCCCCACACAAAGTAACTTTTCTTACATTGCACTCCTGTGGTGCTTATTATCTGTGCCTGAAATGTGTCTCATTACTGTAATTAGATTGTAAGCTCCTGGAGAGTGAGGGCAGTGCATTTATTTATATGGTATGTTAGGAGCAGAAACTCAATTACTTGTTAAAAGAATGAGTAAATGTGTACCTATAAAGGGTAATTTTTTTCTTTCAGTTTTTCTTTCAGTTTGTATTAGTTTCAGGTGTACAACTTAATGGTTAGTCATACTTTATATAGTATACCTTGGGTAATTTAAATATCAATTTATTGATCATTTGATTGGGGGCAGGAATTTAAACAAATGGGAAACAATAGCAGAAAGAAATTTAAAGGTGAAGTATTAGGAACAAGTACCAACCAAAGCTCAACCAGGGAGCATCTACAGACCTGTGACTACTTTTTTATAAGACTACATCATGCACCTGTTCCATAAAGTGAAGTAGTGCTCTTCGTCTCATAGAGATTCTGGAGGAGTCTAACAAGTTTTTGAGATAATTTTGGTTTTTAGCAAAAGTAATGTGGTAATTGTAAAATATTTTAGAAATATAGATAGGAAAAATATCACCCATGATCTCAACTCTAGGAGTAATCACTTTTTATATTTCACCTGTATCTTTTGGGTCTTCTTTTTCCTACCATAAACTTTCTGTTGAGGACCAAAGGTATTTGGAAGATGTGTTCTTTCTTCTAATGAGCCTGCTGTTTAAAGAGTGGATAAACCAAATGCAAAAACATGTAAGAATTTACATTGGAATTGGCTATGATGATGCAATGGAAAAGCACATAGACTAAGTACAAGCTCAGCGATCCTCAACTCTTACCGTGCGTCATGACCACCTGAATGTGTGTTGTTAGTGTTGATTTTGCGCGTGTGTGTGTTTTAGAATCTTCATGCCTTGGTCCCACCTCTAGAAGTTCTGGTGCATGGGCACTCTTACATCTAGACTAGACTGAAATCTGAAAATCAGTAGTTTTTCAACTTCCACCAGGTGATTCCAATGAGTAGCAGGGTTGACCACAATGGGGCTAGATGAATGATTTTATTAAAATATTAGGAAGCATACCTGATTCTATCATTGGGGTACCTCCTCAAGTCATGTACTCCAAAGCCTGTGCATCCAAGATAAAAAGGAAGGAAGAATACAGGTCTTTGTTGGTGCCTTCCGTTTTAGTTACTAAAGCTAACGTGGGAATGCGGGCAGGCCTCCCTGTGCAGTGGAGCGCTTTGTTGCGTCACCCAAGGGTGTCTGGCCAGTGAGAGCTGAAATCCATCTCTTCTTCAGGCCTTCCCGTGTGAGACCTCACCGGCCTGTCAAAGGCACCTTTTTTCCCTAATTGGCACAAAGGACGAGGGATAGCCCCGAAAAATGGAACTGTAGTTGGGGATATTTATACTTTAAAATTTAGTAATAAGCTAATACAGTACTGCTTTTTTAGTTCCTATGGCACTGAATTCACTGCTTGTTAGCATTTGGTTGACTAAACCTTTTAATGGTAATTAAGCAGTGCCAGGATGTGGAGGAGGAAATACTGACAAGCTGTATTAGACTCACTCACAGACAGAACAAAAATAGCTCCCACTAGTGTCACCCATCAGGGGCTTCTTTTTAATCATGTTAACTTAGTGTAGCAAAGAGAACAAACATCTGGGCCAAATACAACCATGATGGACGGTCATTTTCACTCTCATATAGCAGCCGTTAATATATACTAGTCATCATTGTGTATCAGTTTCACAAAGTAGAGCTTCATTTTTTTAAGTTCTTACTGGAGAATGTGTTTATTGATTTTAGAGAGAGAGGAAGGGAAGGAAAGAGAGAGAGAAACATCAATTGGTTGCCTCCCATACATGCCCCTACTGGGGATCAAACCCACCCCTACCGGAGGTCGAACCCGCATGTTTTGGTATAAGGGACGATGCTTAACCAACTGAGCCCCCGGCCAGGTTTTCTAGCAAGACAAATCTTAAGAATTTTTCATCAGTCAGAGGGGCATGGAAGACCTCTTAGAGAAGGTGACATTTGAATGAAATCGAATTGGGTGAAGGAAGACTCGATCCAAGGGAAGAGCAGCCCAGGCAGTGGGAAGAGTGAAGGGAAGTGCCCTGAGGTAGAAATGGCTTGGGTGTGTCCGCAGAACAAGGAGCCAGGGAAGGGGGGACACCGGAGAGCCGAAGGCCCAGTTTCAAAAGGGTTTTGTCTATTTTGTATGCCACAGGTTAGGTGGCAACACTCTGAGTCTGTGCCTCTAAGTGTAGATACATTTTATTTCATTCCATCATATTTGCAGTAAACATCCACTTTTGGAATCCACGAAGTGACAAAGTGAAACCGGTACACTGGCCTGTCATGTGGTAGGCATGCAATAGCATACATAGTTCTCAGTTCAGTTTCTTCTAAGGTGGGAATTCTCCTACGTGTTCAGGTGTCGGAACATCTGGACATTGTGCTGCCGTTTGTGAAATATCATGAAATACTGAAATAGTCAGTTGCATCTCTGTGCAGGGAAGGGTTTTTCCAGTAGGAAAATCTGACTGTATTATAAATATGTGATCTTTACATCACAGGAGATTTCTTATCCTTGGTTCCAGGTTTTCTTGTTGGTGTTCATTTGCTAGTACTAAGTTTAATTTCTGAAGGAAAAAAACAGCTTTTAAAAATTATGTTATTAGCTGTGCTTGTGTCAGCAGCACACATACTAATATTGGAACAATACAGAGAGGATTAACATGGCCCCTGAGCAAGGATGACATGGAAATTCATGAAGCTTTCCATGTTTTTTTAAAAAAGAGAGAAAAACTTATGTTGGTACAAGAAAGTTAGTACATTCCAGGAGCATGGTTTGAGATTCTCTATTCCAAAGGGTCCGCAGGTGAAAGGTCCAGGAATGACATGGGAAGCAAACTTTGTGTTCTTACTACTAGCACCGAAATCCTAGAAGAACTGTGTGCTCACTGGAGGCCCTGAGAAGTGGAGGTTCAGCGTTTCTCTCCCATGGCCTGGGAAGAAGACTGGAAACCCCATCAGAGGCTCCAGGCAGTAGCAGTGGGATTATGGGAAGCTGAATGCTTTAGCTGGTGAAGAGAATTTCCAGAGTTGAGATCTCAGTTTGTGATAGAGCTCCCTGTGGCTCCTAATCCTCTTGAGTCCCTGAAGCCATGTTCTTGCCCATTAGGGCCCACCTGGCTTTTTACTGAGAGGGCTGTCTGCACCCTCTGCCTCAGGTGGTGGGAGCCGTTGCCATGACCTAGAGCTGGGGCAGGCCAAGGCCCTTGTGAAACCCAGGGGAGGAGGGCACGGGTAGCCCTCTCATCAGTGGCCTGAGCTGGAACTTTGAATTAGCTGAACCATGGAAACTGTGTCCCATCAGTGCTAATGTGCTTCTCGGTAGTAATAGAGTGTTATTTCAGGTACTTTCATTTGAGGGAAGGGGAAGGCGGGGAGGACCTAAGTGATTTGAAAACTGTCCGCTTTTTTAAATGGGCAAGAATTTTTGATTCTGTTATTGCCCCATTGTAAGATTTCTTTGCTTCATAAAATTGGAAAAATAACTGAAATAATACCAGTCGGATACAATGAACCTTCTGTGGTTCTGTGCTTCTCATGTTTTTGTGGATGACTAATTTTGTTTACTGGTCAGTTCCAAGGAGGTTGTGAATGCTTTACTTCAGACCTGGCTACACAGTAATTGCTAATATATATAGATCCCAAACCATGAAAAAGCTTAATAAGCTGAGAGCTTCCAAAGCTTTGTGCCATATAACCATATCTTTTGAATCATGAAAGAAAACTTTAGTTGTAGTTTGTGTGAAGTGAATTTTCTTTTCTTTTTCTTTGAAAGTTGCTGTGTGTATTCTATATGGAAATGTCCAGCCAAACATTGAGAGTGGTAGGGAAAGTATTTTTTAAGTTATACGAAACAAGCCAGCCCCAGTGGGAGGGGTGAAGATTGGCACCGGGCCTAAAGGGCTCCGAGGGGAGATGCCTTGGCACCTGGAGAGCTCTGTTTGCCCAGACATGTTGTTCGTGGGGGAAAATCAAGTCGAAGGACAATAGATGCTGACCCTCTTTATATGAAAACAAACCTAGGTGCGTTCGCAAATGTATAGGAGAAGGTTTAGAAGGATGGGGATGACTTCAAGGGAGTGTCAAAGGGAGACTCACTTTTTGCCTTTTAGACTTTAGTTTTGTTTCAGTTTTTAGAGGGAGATGTGTTACTTATGTAAATGTTTAGGATAAAAAATTGTAAAGATTGTAGAGACCAAAGAAGAGAAATAGTTTTGCCCTATCGAGGCTGACAGTAAACGGAAGGTGATGTTATAAGGCTAGAGAGTGGTGTGGGACAGGCATCAAATCCTGGCCGCAGCCAGTTCCTGATTGTCCAGAGTTTCCATGGGCTGAGCCTTAGGAAAAGCAGACTCCAGGCGGGATGTCAGTGACCTGGCAGGTGAAGTGGGGTCAGCAGGGACTTTGGAGAAATTAGAAACATCAGGAAGTAAAAGGTGAATGAAAGGCCCACAGAGGTATGGGAGTAGGTGAGAGTAGCGTATTGCATGTGTATAGGTGGGAGGAGTTTGATAGGCACTGATACAGTATCCCCCCCTTATCCACAGTTTCATTTCCACAGTTTCCGTTAACCACAGTCCAAGAATACGGAATGGAAAATTCCAGAAATAAGCAATTCATAGGTTTTAAATTGCACGCCATTCTGAGCAGTGTGATGAAATCTCTCGCCATCCTACTCAGTCCCACCCTGGTGTCCGCACTGGAGAAGCTCCCTGCTTGTTAGTCACTTGGTAGCCACTTTGGTATCAGGTTGACGGTCCCAGGATCTCAGTATCCCAGTGCTTGTGTTCAGGTTATCCTTATTTTACTTACTAACAGCCCCAAACCATTCACGTAACTTGTAATAAGTACATTGTTATAATTGTTCTATTTTAATATTAGTTATTGTTAATCTCTTACTGTTCCTAATGTATAAATTAAACTGTATTGTAGGTTAGTGCAGGAAAAAACATAAGGTATATAGTGTTCAGTACTGCCTTCTGTTTTAGGCATCTGCTGGGGGTCTGGGAGCATATCCCCCACTGTATTTGGGTTGTAAACTCCTTGAGGGCATGACCAGTCTTACTCATCTCTTCTGCCAGTGTACCTTCTGCCCAGGTCATTGACTTGCATATAGTAGGAACTCATTAAATGTTGAATGCTTCAGTTGGGCGAATCTGTAAAGCTCTAGGCTTGCATATCTTTATCTATGACAGGGGGGTATTATATTAGATAATTTCCAAGGACCCTTTCAGTGATACAGTCTTCTTCATGTGACTTCCATAAGCCACATGCATTGGTGTATGGTTATTTTATTAATGTGATTGTAGACAGTCCTTGGAGCAGTAGACTTGCATGAAAGGAACCTAAAAAGATTGGCTAACCCATACCAATAGCAGTGCCTTTGGTACACACAGGTATGCAAATCTCTATGCATTGCAAGGGTCCCACAGAGAATAGGTCATAAACATTCTCAGTTTAGTGGGTTCTACAGGGAAAACTGTAAGAGACTCATAAACATTTTTGTTCCTGTAGCCATCTGGAAAGTACGGTATCTTCATTACGTTCTCATTTCTACAGAGGATCCTAAAAAGGAATGCTACATTAAATGCTGAAAATTTTCATATTTGCAAACCAGTAGATATGGTTGAGTTGTTAGTGTTTAAATGTCTTATTAGTGAGATGAGAGGAAAGGCAAAATTAAAACTCATTTTTTAGACAGCTATATACTGTTCAACTGTAGAAGAATAACTAAAGGAAAAGCATGACAATTTTTATCAGAAAACATTTTAATTGCTCTTTATATTATGTGCCTTATTTAAATCCCATAATAAAGGTGTAAATATCATGGATTATAAGTACGTACATAAATAATGTATCCTCTCTCCCTCCCTTTTATGAAGATTGAAAAGGCCAAACCAATTAAATGTGGAACATTTGGTGCATCATCTTTACAGCAGAGATATTTAGCTACTGGAGATTTTGCTGGAAACCTTCATATATGGTAAGATTACTTAATTAGTATTAAGATATGAGATAAGCAGTTTCTTTGACAGTCATGTTATTCTTCCTCTGAAAGAATTCTAATTTTTCTTTAGGTATTTCAAATAATGTTGCCAATTTTTATTTCTACATATGGTGTTTAGTGCATGCATTTAATACCTTGTATTTGTAAATAAGGTCGGTCCCCCACCACCTTGAGGGATACAATATATAAAAATGAACATGTAGAACATGGGGGAAAATTAGATATTGTTTACATTTCAGCAATATTTTGGCATTACAGAATGATACATCAAGTTTTTAATTTTTTAATGTAGAACTCTCAGTACTTTAAAAAAATTTTTAATGCATTGGCTAACATCTGAGCACAGCTTACTCGGAACCCATCTGCTGAGCGAATCGAGATAAGCCTGTTTTGAACGAGCAAAATCGCAATTGTGCCAGCTGCTTTTAATCTTCATGTTTTACCAAGAGTTATTTCCTCATATTTAAATTGAAGTTGAGTGAATTCAAATTTCTCTGTAATTAGTTTTCAGGAATATCTCTTAATCTTCTGAAGTATGCAGTAATGTTCTAGAGAGAAACTGTCTTTCATGCTTAATGTTTCTAATGTAACTTTTCTTGATTTCTCAGAATCTGTTACTTTGTAATTAAATTACTTTGACCTATTTATTTGTCTTAGACTGCTAAAATAAAACATAATGAAGCTATTTTAACTCACCCTTGTTTTCACTGCTTAATAATTAAGTTAGCATTTATTACAATGTATTAGGTCTTACACATAGAGCCATAAATTTTGAAAGAAATTGGGAGAGAGACCAATCTGAATGTTATTTTTAAAAGTAAATATATATATAGAACCAGTATTACTGACTTATTTTCATTGAAAAGTCTTATAATTTTACCTTAAAAAAGTAGTTTTTTAAAATCTATAAAAATCATAAAATAGTTAAAAAAAAAAGAGTTTGTGTATCTTTAGAGATGAGGGAAAGGAGGAAGAAAGAGCGGGAGAGAAACATTGATGTGAGAGAGAAGATAGGTTGCCTATTGTAAGTGCCCTGACCAGGGACTGAACCCACAACCCAGGCATGTGCCCTAACCCGGAATTGAACCAGCGACATTTTGCTTTGTGAAACAGTGCCCAACCAACTGAGCCATGCTGGTCAGGGCAGTAAAATAGTTTTTTAAGTAGAACCTTAATCCTGTTTAGTATCTTGTTGAATCTTTTACAGTAATTCTACAAAGGTAAACATCATTTCTAAACGAGATTGAGCTATCTCAAATCTGCTAAATGAGATTTTACTAATCATGGCTCATTAATAAATTGGGATTATACCCTGAAGAGCTACACTCTTTTTTTAAGTGTAAGCTATTGAAAGCTGACTTGTTAAAGAAAAATGTGGATAGAAGCTCAAAGAGAAAAGCAAAAGGGGACAAGCAAGGTAGGGGATATATTAACACTAACTGCTTGAGCCAGTCATCACCCAGCCATCTGCTGTGGACTCCAGCACACATAGTATTGTAATTGGTACTTGCCTGCGTTCCTTTCTCTTCAGTAACCTAGACAAACTGCAGCCAGTTTGACTGAAATACTTGTGACTGGCATGATGATAAACTGAAAAATGTAAAACTAGATGAAAATCTGTATGGAATTCAATGAGAAAATATAATAATACACTTTAAAGGGAGAGTGAGTACAAAGTATGCTGTACTCATATAATAAACCTGAGAAG